TATAAATAAACTTGCCTTGCCTAACTAATACAGTATTACTTAATAATGAACATATTACAGTAAAAGCATAAACAATCCCATTTATAACACAACAAAGTTTGATGTGATCTTCAGATGGGATCAAATCAAAGGTTACCAAGGGCCAACTTTGGCCCACAGGCCCTACTTTGCACATCTCTGATCAAGAGCCTTCATGGCTGAAGAGAAATACACTGCTTTTTTTCACCTAGGCAACCCTGAATAATGCTGGAATATAATTGGTTGAACATGCAGTGGGCGGAGCTACAGACCAGATCAAAGTCAGACACATTTACAAAGCAGAATAACTGACTTTAGCACTGAAGTGTGTTCACTTAGCGTGAGTCCTAAACATCTGCAAACATATTAAAGGTATTTTTATGCTTTAACAGAATCAGAAAGTACATATTAATATAGAAGGGGTGTTCGTTCTTACAGAGATGTCAGGGTTGGAGAGTTCGCTCAGCAGTTTTTTGGCCTCAATAATAGCCTGGTAGAGTCTGAGCGAGTGTCCGTCGCTGGCGATGAAGCATGCGCTGGGTGAGTTTCCATACACACCTTTAGGAAGCAAAATGAAATATTAATAGAGCAGCAGTAACATCCAATCAGCTTCAAACTGGAAATCACAGAGACGGGATGTGCCAGGGATCCTCAATGAAACTTTAAAAGATGCAGAGTAAATATTGATGAGCCGAACACATATTTATGAATAATCTATTCTGTTCCCCACTCACTCATTAATAGATGCAGCTCAGAGAACAGCACAGATGATCCAGGCGCAGAGTGCTTTCTGCTGTACTCTACTCTTACTGTCGTTTTTACCTTAAAGCAGTGCTACTCTTCCAAAATAAAACATTCTGACAGCATTTATTCACCCAACACTCTACCCAGTTTCTTTCCTCTGCTGAACACAGAAGAAGATATTTTGAACAATGTTCATGTCTGATGGTCACTATTGACATCTGCAGTAGATAAAAACACTAGGGAAGTCAATGGTGAGCCTAACTACAAGTAGAGATTAAAGATTCATGATGCGCTGGTTGAAAATGTATTCAATTATCTGATGATTCAAATTAGTGTGATGTATGTATATGTGTGGATCATATTAGGGGTGTAACGGATCATAACCCATGGTTCAGAACACACATGACCTAGATTAATTCCAGTATTTTTGTTTTCCTGTAAGATATATGAGGACAGAAGATAAGGAGGCTCCTAAAGGCTTTCTTAGGATATTACAGATATTTTCTGTCACTGCTTGTTTAGTCTACATTAACGCACTCAGTATAAAGCTGCACAATTAATCACTTCAACTTTACATTTCGTTGCTTGATGTGCTTTTTATGAAGAATTATTGAATGGCTTTTCTTTTAATGGTTGTTTAACCCTTAAAGACTGAAACAGCCGCCTGTGGCTAAAAATAAGTATTGCTCTTAAATGTTTAATAACTTTTGATCTGCTGATCTGATCCGTACAATTCAAAGATTGGCATAAAGAAGAGAATCTAAGCTTTCTAACGCTGTGACACATTTCATCACGGACCTTCGGAGGCTCCGGAATTAGTGTGGTTACATCATCACATTTTGACAACTCTGATTTGACTAAGGAACGCTCGTGGCTTGTGTCTCCAGACATGATGCATTGATGCATTGTCCCTCCTCCATGCCCAGATTGGTTCAGACTTGCTCTCTCTCAACCAATAAGCATAGGTTTCGCTTTGTGGATCGCCAATCAGCTATTTGAACAACCCGGAGTGAGAAACGGGCTGTACATTTACGCACGGCTAAATAAAACGCAAAAAAAAAAAAAAAAAGTTTTGCATGAAATAATTCTCAAATTGAGTACTTTTGCATGCCACAACAGCACAGAAACATGACCAAACAGTGACACAGCAAAGATGAAGTGCTGGTCTTGCTGTTTTCAAGGGACTCAAATGACGGTGCGTCAGTTGAGAAGTTGAGAAGCAGCAGGGTCAACACCATATCCATGCTGCCACATAAAACCTAAGGATGCTCCATGCTGAATCCAGTTTAGTTATGCAACTATTTATACTATAGTAAATATTTATATCTAATTTTTTACTGAGGATTTGCACCATGTTTATTTAGACTTTATTTAGACTTTGATTCGCATTATTTTCTTTTTTTCTTATTTTTTATGTGTTCATTGTAAGTGGTGTTGTTTATGGTAACTGAAAATATATTATTTGGGAAAAGTCAATCTTGCTTCAGTGTCCTGTTATTTTGTAACGATCTTTCCGTTTAGTTCATTCCCAGAACTGTTGGGCAAATACATTGTCAGTAAATAAATGGGTCCCACTTTATATTAAGTGGCTTTAACTAATATGTACTTACATAGGAACTAATTTTTGTTACAATGTACTTATTGTGTAAATACATGTGTTTACAGTGTACTTATGCTTGATTAAATACATGTATGTAATTACATCTGTAATTAACTTCTGTAATTACATTTGTAAATACACTGTTGACCATTTCCTACACCTTAACCCACCCTTAAACCTACCCATACCACCAAACCTGTCCATAACCCAACCCCTATCCCAACTCAAAAGCACCACAAGTGTTCTCAAATACATTATAAACACCGTGAGTACATTGTATTTATTTTTTGATGTAAGTACATAGTAGTTAAAGACACTTAATATAAAGTGGGACCAATAATTGCACTAGTTTTTTCCCACTGGAAATGGGAGAATAACATTGAAATAAATTGCTATGACTTGCTCAGGGAATAGTGGATGTAGACAAAATTTATTTTGGAAGTATAAAACATCATAGCGTGTATTTCTAAAGAAAAAAAGCAAACTTCATGAGGTTTTGTTTGTAATAACTAGAAAACGCCACTTTTTAAAAAACAGTTTTCTTAAAATTCTGCAATATTTACTGTCTGTTCAAATGTTTTTGGACCAAAAAATATCATAGACTGGACTTTTAACTTTTCTCCTGTTTAAAATAATAAATGAAACTTGAGGCTGACTGATAAAATAACAATAAAACTGCTTTAAAAAAAAAAATAATAATAATATAGGCCCTTTCCCAGAGATGGGTTGCGGCTGGAAGGGCATCCGCTGCGTAAAAACTTGCTGGATAAGTTGGCGGTTCATTCCGCTGTGGCAACCCTGGATTAATAAAAGGGACTAAGCCGACAAAAAAATGAATAAATGAATGAATATAGGCCCATTAGGTGCCCACAAAATACCTCTAGGTGTTTAAGGGTTAATGCCATCTACTGGTTGAATAATGTAACTGCTACAGTTTTCAACAGCGTCAAGTTGCATCAAGCGGTGACTTTTATCTGAGCTATACGCTGTTCTTCCAGGACTTCTGTGTTATTTAATTGTTTGTAATCAACTAAAAAGGGTAAAAACTTAATGTCTTTCTTGATCAAATGCAGATCTGAAAGCAGCACATCAAAGAATTAATAAAGAAAAAATGAAAGTAAACTTGTTTTAAATCGTGACTGAATCGTGAATCGTGAGATTAGTGTGGTGAATGGTATGGAATCGAGAGTCAGGTGAATCGTATCATCCCGAGTGTACAGGGTGTTATTAGTGATGTGGTGAGTGTGACTCTGACCGAGGCAGTTGCTGGGGATGAGCGTGGGCAGCCAGGCCACATTGGAGAATGCAGAGGTGTGCAGAGAGTTGACCCGCGCCAGCTCCGAGACGCCACCAGAGAAGGAGAGCGGCCCGACGGGATCCACTCGCCACAGGATCAGCTCACTGTACACCGCATTGGGATCCTGGCCCACTCCACCCGACGCCACTCTGCTCCTGCGGGACGCAGTCTGGGTCGGGGATGGGCTCTGGGTTTGGTTCTGGGTGTTGTGGTGTGAGGTGGTCAGCAGCAGCGGCAGCACCGAGTGGCAGGCCAGGTCATTGAGGTGGAAGCGGTGTCCGCAGTACCGGGATTTATGGGACACGCTGAGCACCGTGGAGAAGGCAGAGTCCTCGGCGAAGCTCACCGCCCACTGGTTGAGGGATCCGTCAGTGTGTTTGGAGATCATCAGGACACTCGGGGTGAAGATGCTGAGGCGCAGACTGCTGCACGAGGGCTTGTTCTGGGTGATCAGGGCGGAGGACGAGTGCAGGCCGGCGGGCCGCTGACGCCCCTGCTGGAGCGCCAGATCCACATTCCTGTTGCAGGCGTACATCACCACACTGCCGCTCAGAGAGTTAGCGTCGCCCGTGGGGAACGCCACCGGGATCCTGGACACGAACGACACCTGCACACACAGAGGACAGCAGAGGTGTAAAGCAGGGTTCAGACACACTTTACTACTAAAACTCCAAGACTTTTACAAGACTTTCAAGCTCATTTACAAGACTGAATGTTTCATCTAACGTCTACATATACAGCTGAGGCCAGAATTATCAGCCTTCCTGTTTATTTTTTCCCCAATTTCTGTTTAACAGAGAGCAGATTTCTCCAACACATTTCTAATCATAACAGTGTGAATAACTCATCTCTAATAACTGATTTATTTTCTCTTTGTCATGATGACAGTAAATAATATTAGACTAGATATTCTTCAAGACACTTCTATACAGCTTAAAGTGACATTTAAAGGCTTAACTAGGGTAATTAGGTTAACTAGGCAGGTTAGGGTAATTAGGCAAGTTATTGTATAATGATGGTTTGTTCTGTTGACTATCGAAAAATATACAGCTTAAAGGGGCTAATAATATTGAGCTTAAAATGCTGTTTATTAAATTAATAACTGCTTTTATTCTAGCTAATAAAACAAATAAAACTTTCTCCAGAAGATAAAATATTATCAGACATACTGTGAACATTTCCTCAATCTGTTCAACATCATTTGGGAAATATTTAAATAAGAAAAATAAATTCGAAGGGGGGCGAATAATTCTGACTTTAACTGTTTGTGGTAAATAATAAAACGAAACCATGCACATTCAAATTTATTACAAAACAAACAACATACAACTGTTCAGTTTAAATGTGTTTATTAAATCTGTGTAAATTGTGTTTAGATGAGGTTTACACAGTGTTCATGATGTGAGAGCATGTGATTGGCCATGGACAGAACAGAAGTAAAGACAGCTAGCCTATATTCTAGTACACTGATATCTGCTAAACAAATTTCCACCACTTTTCTAAAACATTTGTGTTTTTTTTTTTGCAAACTTTTTCCTGTCCTAGAAAATGCCGTGTTGAAATGAAATGACTTTCCAGGTTTTCATGACCGTCTGAACAGTATGAGTGTTGGATATGTTTTTCTTTCATAGCAAACTCAGTGTTGTGCATGAGAATAGACCTTTACCTGAATAATGCACGAGGCAATCTGATATTACCAGTGTAAAAAAAGTCTAATAATGTTGTCCACACCTCAGCTGAGATGTCATACATACAATGAGAGCAACGACTGCAAGTGTGAAATTTAGATTAAGTTAAGTTGTGGTCTTTTGACTGAAATTACATTTTAGCTTCAGCCATATTTTAGTCTTCTGAATCATTATAGTGTTAGTCGATTACATTTCATTCGATTTTAGTCAACTCAATCTACTCTAGATTTGTTTTAACTAATAATAATAATAATAATAATAATTCCTTATATTTATATAGCACTTTTCAGGGCACTTAAAGCACTTTACACATTGGGGGAAATCTCCTCATCCCCATCAGTGTGCAGCATCCACCTGGATGACGCGACGGCAGCCATATGATAATGCCAATTATGATATGGGGAGGGTTAGGAGGCCATGATGGACTGAGGCCAGTGGGCAGATCTGGCCAGGATGCTGGGGTGAAACCCCTACTCTTTTAGTAAGGACATTCTGGGGTAATTAATGAGCACAGAGAGTCAGCACCTCGGTTTAACATCTCATCTGAAAGACGGCGCACACTGTTCTAATATTCAGTATAGAGTCCCCATCACTACACTGGGGCGTTGGGACTTACACAGAGCGCAGGTTGGGCGCCCCCTGCTGGCCTCATTAACACCACTTCCAGCAGCAACCTAGCTTTCCCATGTGATCTCCCATCCAGACACTGACCGGGCTCAGCCCTGCTTATCTTCAGTGGGTGACCATGTGAGAGATGCAGAGAGCTAGCTGCCGACTAAATATATCTGGTTCAAATAAAGTGTAATTTAATTAAAATAATGTACACATTTATATATGTTATAGTCTCATTAAATTACAGATTATAGCTTTTCCATAGAAGACCAAAAATTAGATACGAATGGTTTATTTTTATCTTAATGTAAAATTCTGTGTGAGCAATCAATCCACATGTAAGAACCGTAGCCTATTCATAACGCAGGATTTAGCATTTACTTAGCAAAGCCTTTATTTCAACATGGCAAACAGCTAGTGTCTAGTCTGTTTTGACT